CAAATATGAATTCTCTCGATCTTAAATTAAATTCGAGTCACAGCTGGGCAAGTACGAGTATCACCAAAATCATACTCTCACTTGGTTAGCTCTGAACAAAAAAAAAATATCTTTTTTTTCTTTCCCAACACAAGAAACTTGTCTAAATCTCAAGATTGAAAAGAATCTTGATTCATCAATCAAGAAGAAAAAAGAATTGGTATAAGAACGTTCATTTATGAAATATTAATCGACAAAGAAAGCTTCTTTAAAATAGTTTCTAATACGGTATTTGTTTCTTTTTGAGCACAAAATGTTTACATGCCACATGTCACATGTTATCCTACGAAGAAGAAAAACATCGTCTTTGTCACGTTCTGTGTTTTTTTTTAATAGCATATTGACTCGTACGATTCTATAGTCAGTAGTAATTACATAAGAAATGACAAAAATATACTCATTGTAATTGCGCAAGGTATAAAAAAAGTGGTTGTAGCTATAAAAACTTGTCGATTTGTAAATGAATTGTATAATTTATAAAAGTACGATAAATACAGAAATTTCGATTAAGACTAAATTACGATGTCAAACAATGAAAAACAAGCAGACGAGCTTATAGCATTACAATCAATTTTTGATAAAAAATTTCGTCTTCTCGATGATAATCAATATGAAATATTAATTGAATTTGATTTATCAACATCATTTAGAATTCAATTGAATGATAAAATATCTTTTATAAAATATTTACCAGCATTAACACTTATAATTCATTATCATGATGAATATCCAAGTGATTATCCACCATCATTTATCGTTTCATGTTTTTATTTTTCGAAATATGATTTAGAAAAATTGTGTCAAAAACTTGATAATTATTTATTTAAAAAAGGTGAAGTATGTGTTTATGATTGGATTGAAATAATTAAACAGAAAATCACTAATGAGCTTATTTTAAATGATAAATTTCAAGAATACATAAATGATCCACGAGCATTAAATGGATATTCATTTGAAAATGCTAAAAATATTTTGCAATATTTAATTAACTATAATTATGAACGTGAAAATGAATATTTTCAAAAACAATTTCAAACATGTTTTATTTGTGAAGATACTATTCCCGGTATTGATTGTATTCGTCTTTATCGTTGTGGTCATTTTTATTGTCGACTTTGTTTGAATAATTATATTCGAATGAATTTAGAAAATGGTTTATTTGGTGAAAAACTTCATTGTCCACAATATGAATGTAAACAATCTTTACTTCCAACAGAAATTAAACAAATACTTCACAGTGATCAATTATATGAAAGATATGAAAAATTAACATTACAACATAGTCTTGAATTAATGAATGATATTCTTTGGTGTTCAAGGTAAGAAATAAAATTAACAAATTTTTATTAGATTTCAAATAGAAATATTCAAAACGAAAATGTTTTGTTTATAGATGTCAATCTCCTGTTCTTATTAATAATGAAAATGATAATTTAGCTATCTGTTATCAGTGTCATTATACATTTTGTAAAAAATGTCAAGAACTATATCATTCTCAAACAATGTGTCCAAAAGATTATATAATTGAACAATTAAGAATTCAGAAAGAAAAAGAATACCAACGACTTCAAAAACAAAAAGAAGAAGCTCTTACACAACTCAACAAAATCGAAGAAAATAAGAAAAATTCTCGTGAAAAAAAAGTTCTGAAACAAAAATATCGTCAAATTGTGATAAAATTATCTGAAAAAGATAGATTATTAGAAGAAGGATTAAATGTCAAACAAATTGAATCTCTAAATACTCAACGTTGTCCAAATTGTAATATACGAATTGAAAAAAATGGTGGTTGTTCACATATGCATTGTTCACGATGTGATTATCATTTTACGTGGCAAACAATAGAAAAAACAGAACAATCAGATATATGTTTATTATTAAATAATTATGATCGTCAATCGAATCAAATAGAATCTGTTAAAGAAGATTTAAACAAAGTAGCAAATATTGGTACGAAATAAACTATTTACAAGATAATTGAAAAATGCAATAAACTTGTTTTATTTCAGATAATTCGTCTGAACAAGAGACAGATTCAGATGAGATAAAAGATTTAGCAGTTTCTATTGATAATAAATCAACTATTGGTGCTGCTATTGTCAGTCGAGTTAGACGATGTCCAGGTAAATTGTGTAAAAAACTTAATATTAAAATTGATCAAGATAATTGGATAATATGTAATGAATGTATGAAACAATTTTGCTTTTTATGTGGACATGCTATTTTTGGAAGCCGACATTTTGAGAAAAAATGCCAACGATATACATAAATTTCAATGACAAAATTATGATCAAAATTTGACATTATACAAATTTGAATTACTTTTCGAGATCTCAATGATTAATATTAGAATTGAATGGTTGTTTTTATGATTTCGAATATTTAATAAATTTATGTTACATTGCACTTATCATGATCAAAATACATTCTTAGAAAAAAACTTATCATCAAATAATTGTATGTGCCTGCTATTATTTTTCTGGATAAGTGCTGATACGTTATAGAATTCGGTCAAAAATCGCTATTTTTGATGTTTGTCTCCTTCAAGTTCGATCGTGGTCGAATCTCCTCTCACTTGGACGTCCATAAAATTTGTGGGTCAGAAGAAGGAATGAAACACGTACTCTGACCAAACACATTGTTAAATCTAAGCCTATCCTAAAAAAATTCAATTAAATCTTGCCAAATTGTAATAGAATAGTTTTTATTAAATTTCAGCACTTCCGAACAGTTGGAGTTCAAGGAAAAGTGAGTCAAAAGTATCTGGTGGAAGCTGAGTATCGAGTCCCTCGTTGTTAATACATTATTAGATTAAAAAAAAGTGAAACATACTTTTTACGCTTCATATACTTCATTCATTTATGAATGAAATACTATCGAACTCCTAGATGAAATATACTAAAATAACGCTATTAACACTTATTTCATTGTCAAAACTTCACGAAAATTCTTGTAAAAAGTGAAAATGTTCGTAACAAGCGTCCCAGCATCGGTACGTGCTTGAGACCTTCTATTCTCTCCTCACATCTGTTCATTTGCGACTGATTCTCTCCTTTCTTTTTTTGACGTCGTCCATGGATGACTCCTTCACAATAGAAACAATCTAGACAATAGAAAAAGTTCTTTTTCTCTCTCTTACTTTTTGCTGACTTTTTTTTTTTGGTAAAAATTCATGCATTTACTCACCCTGAATTCATAGTAGATTTCTTGCAAATGCTGATCTTAATCAAAATAAAACAATTTAATTAACAGCTATTTGTGTTATATATACATAAATAAGGGATATTGAAAAAAATAGGAAACAATTGTGTTTATGCTAATTTGGCATTAGAATAATTTTTTTTTTGTTAAAACTAATAGTTTATCGAATGATTATAAATATGATCAATATTTTTATTCAAGTTTGATAATACAGATTAGAGTTCATCACCATTATCATCGTTTTACTTACATATCTTGTTATGTATAATTGAAAAACATTAGAAAAATCTTTTTTTTATTTGTCAAAGCGGATATAGATGGAACGAGGTTTACCGTTGATAAGTGAACTTAGCAAAAGCAAGAATTTTTCAATCTTCGTTCCAAACAAGTCTTGTTTAGTATTCTTCATTATTAGCTCGATTAACTTCAATTTAAAATTTCCCGTTTTCAAGCATGAACTTATTCCTTTTGTTTCATTCTTTGTCTAATATTTATTAATATCCGTTATCATGATCAAGTGCAACACACATATACACAAATAACAGCAATAATAGATTTAATATACTACTAAAATCTCTCTACCTTCCTTGAGAATAAGTTTATTTTTTCTTTATTCATGTCAATAGTTATTGAACATTTAGATGGTAATTTATGTTATTGCTTAATTATTTTTCATGTACTGTAAATTTATTGTTTGTTTAATTATTTCGACATGTTCATTCGCGTCAGTTTTAGCAACTAATTACGTCAGTACTTCAAAAACTGGACCAAAAAAAAACACTTAAAATATTGATATGGCAATAAAACAATGTTATCACAAAATGACAATCTATGTATGCATACTGCACATTTTTCTTTTAACCATAAGCAGTCCAGATGAGATTAAAAAAAAATATTGGCATATCTCAAACTCTTACAGTGAAATGGAATCGGTTTTTTAATTAATTATCTGAATAAATATTGATTGATTAACTCTTTACGTCCTAGTGGATCATTTTTGACCCATTTGAAAGCCTAATCTGTTTGGAGCAATAAAGCATCGAATCAAGAAGGTTCTTTAACATTGTGTACAACACTCAGTGTGCTGTAATGTGCTTAAGAATTAACCTTTTTCTCATTGTCTATTGGTAAAATATTTGAGCCGGAAAATCATGATGTTTCGAAAAAATTGAAAAATCCAATTTTTTTGTTCATTGTTTTTTTTTATTAGCGCAAATTAATCATTTATTTTTTTGAACGATGGATATATGTTACTTAAGACATCAACTATTTATCTAGAACGCTTTCATAAATTAATGAATTAATGCTTGAAAAGACCATTCTTTAAAACTACGTGGGTCAAAAATGACCCATTGGTGTTGAATGACATGAAGAAATGTATTCTTTGGCAGGTAATTTGTTTTCAATATAAACTCCTTATTAACAATATTTTCATNCTATCAGATGTCGATCAACATGAAGGATATGGTTGCTTCCAAAGTGTATAATACTCTTGTACAATTTAAGTCTATAAGCTGATTAAAATATTGAGACAACATTTGAATATGAAATTCTAATAATTGGATTATAATGACGAGATTAATTTCAATAATAATGTATATGTACGAACTCACTTAAGAAAATTCACTTGTACTTTATAATTTTAGATAAATAATCGCTCTACATTTATCATTATCAAAAACGTTACAAATAAAAAAAAATTCGACTTTATCGTCTCTCTCGACGATAAGAAAACCTAAACCTACTAAAAGAACTACTGCATTATCTTCAACAACAGTATATAATACAGCAGCTCCAAGTACTCTTTCGACAACAACTAAAGCTATTGATGGTGCTAGATAGATCATCATCTACGTACGGTTTGAGTAAATAAAAATAACTTCGATAACAAGTGTCATCGAAGTTGTAACTTCGATAACCACTGCCATCGAAGTTGTAACTTCTATAAAAAAATTCTATCGAAGTTAAACTTCGATAAGAGGAAGCATCGAAGTTGTAACTTCGATAAAAATTTTATCGAAGTTATAACTTCGATAAACATGCTAACTTCGATACGACAGATATATGTTACTTAAGACATCAACTATTTATCTAGAACGCTTTCATAAATTAATGAATTAATGCTTGAAAAGACCATTCTTTAAAACTACGTGGGTCAAAAATGACCCATTGGTGTTGAATGACATGAAGAAATGTATTCTTTGGCAGGTAATTTGTTTTCAATATAAACTCCTTATTAACAATATTTTCATACTAAAAACATTTATTTTGATTAATAGTTAATTAAAAAGCAAGGCGTGATAGTTTTTCAACAACCTTGTATCGGGAAAAGATAGAGATCTTTAGTTTTTGCTATGACTTTCTTTCTTCGCTAAACTACCAAAACCGTGTCTCGCTCTCTCGCTACCATACTTTTGGCGGTCTCATAGTACTTTCGTATGACACATGACCGACTGCGTACATATCAAGCGTTTTTTTTTGCGTCTTGTTGATACACCTTGATAAGACTTACAGAGCTACATGTAATTGAACGGGAGCCCTTTCTCAATAACTATACCCAGGTAATGATATTCATCATTGTTCGCATGTCGATATTTCTTCTTTGTATGCTTTAATTCTCTCTCTGTCGTCTATTAACTGTTTCGTCTCTGATTCTCTTTTTCGTTCCTTTTTTCGGACATTTCCCTTTTTGACTTATTACTCTGTTTTAATTGAAAATAGCAGCAATTTTGTGCAACTACAAGATTGAATAAGAAAAGAAAATCAGTTTTTCTTTACCCTATTTTTATCCATCTTAGATAATTCTTGGTCTGCAACAGAATAAAACAAAAGAGCATTCTCGACTTCTTTCTTCGCCCCTTTTCTCACTCTATTTCCAGCATAAATAGTTTGTCTCTTCAAGAAGGAATACTTGTTCATTCGTGTTATTCATATTTATTTAACATAAATATCTCACTTACCATTTCGTTGTGCTGTCGTTTTTTTATCTTGCGATTTTTTCTATCTTATTCAATTGTATTAACTTACCTTTTTCAAATAATGTCTCAAAATAGTAATTCAACAAATTGATCGGACTGAAATCTTTTACATAATTTGAATATCGATTATGATCCGAGTGGAAGTGATGCAAGTGACTTGTCCATTTATGATTTAGTGCAATACGTGGTTGTTTTAGAGACTATCATTGTAACAAATAACAGATATATCTAACATGCTAACATTGATTTTTTTGCTATTTTTTAATGTAAGCTTTGGTTCTGATGGCATAAAACTATCACGTACCATTTTTAAGAATATCTTGTTTCTTGTAAACGACTCTTAATAGTAAAAGATTTATAGACTGATATAGATAAACAAGCGTGCAGTCAAGAAAAGAAGTAAAAAAAGTCAAATTAGTGAACTGTCTAATTTTTATGTCATTCAACACCAATGGGTCATTTTTTACCCATTTTATATCTACACAGTGAGATGACTTCGCTCGAATTTACTCATAGGAAGATTCTATTGAGCACTAGTATGATCGATTCTTGTAGTCGAATCAACATCAGCTCTTCTGGATTAGTGGTGGGGTAAAAGGTTAATATTAATGGTACATTTTTGTGAGACTAGATTCTCATTCATTGATTAATCATTTCAGAAAAAGATTTCAATGATATTATTTGTCAGATTATCACTCCGATTTAATCTCGATTTCTTTTAATTATATACAGTTGAAACGTGTGATATTTTATATTCACACTTACAAAGTTTTTGAACTTTTCTAAATTATTTTTATTTAAGAAAAATTGACAAATTTTATGTTTGTCTTAGTTTAATTCAATCATAACTTTATATTACATGTTTCAAAATCCAAAAATTTCCTATTCTTATAAATAAGCAAACAAGAACTCATTATTTTTTAAGATTGTATTGTTGTTATTATTCGATCATTCAACTTCTTAATATTAGTTACAAATTTAATAATTGTTATATAATAAAAAGAAACCTGAACCTTGTAAAAGACTTTTTGTTTATTGTTTATTTAATTGAAATATATCACCAAACATAATGATAAAAATAAAACTAACATAGTACTTGAAATCAGAAAAAAAAAGATTATCATTTACTTCAACATTTTTATAAGTAATAATCAACCTCGATTTACTGCTTTCTTAAAGGTATATTCATTTCTCTCAAGTCAGGAAATGAATAACGACGTCCAGCTGATATACAACTTACTAGAAAACTAAATATCGTAAATAAATGTGCCGTCTGATATAAATTAGCTGCATAATCATTATAATAAAGAACATAAGCACCTTCAGCCATTCCAGCTAGCATAAAAAGACATGCAAGAAAAAGGCCTATTGGTCCAATTAAATAAATCCATATTGCCAAACCTTCAATAATCATTAATAAAGTTGTTATTGTTCCTAAGAAAATAAAAACAATACCAACAATACATAGACCAGCTGCACCATCTAGATGTTGATTCCATTCAGTTTCATTCCATCGTGCATCGATTGGATAATATTGATTAATGTTACGATCAGAACTACGATGTTTACAACTTATTAATGTACCATTTGTATATGAACTACATGCATAGAAAAAGTTGGCCGTACTAATAGTATGTCGTTGTCCATCAATGATAACTTGAGTACTTTGCCAATTAGGTGTACCAATGCCAACACAAGCTAATAATAAAGCAATTCCTCCAAATATTACGGATGTAATAATGAATGTTATACTAAGATTATTGTTATGCAAAATCATGTCTATACGTTTGAATATAAAATTAAAAATAATTAGAAGAAAAATTTATCTTTTACTTGTCTATTATTCTAATGATCAATTGTTTTATTTAACTAGTTGCTAACGATCATAGATTTTTCTTTCTCAATGCCACTATTCAAATGTCTTCCTTCACAACAGAAAAAAAAAAGTTTTCACATCCAGTTTGTGATGACAGTTTTCACCAAATCAAACGAAGAGAATTCGTTCTTGTGTACAAATGCAATGTCGTACCAGAGCACATTATTTTTTTTTACTCGTCAGTAAGATGTGGATTGAATCATCATATAGAGGACAGAAAAAAAAAGACGGTAGAATTTATTCTTGATTGAATAAGAAAAACATTGCTACACAAAAGATTGATGTTGAGTTGATGCAGAGACAAATTTTATAAGCTTCATAATTTAATGGGTTTATATTCCAATGAGAAAAGTACATCTGTTGTTTTTTCATGAGATCGGAAAATGTTGAAATTTGCTATTTATTATGTAAAATTCTGTTTAGAATAATACACTATCAATGAAACATTAAAAAAAGATTATTGTAGGTGGAATGTTTTTCATTTATTCGAGTACGACGAAAACAAGTCGAAAGATCTGATACACATAGGAGAATCAATAAGCCATGCTTCTGATTTTTTTCTTTGTTCTATGTATGAATGCCTATATATCAGTAAAATATACTGATGAAATATAAACAACTGAGAAGACTTATGTTGGTTTCAAAAAGACTATTGCGAGTGATATCATCTGATGCAGGATATGGATGTTAAACTGCGTTTTTATAAAGGAATATTAAACCGTTAAACTGTTTTCATACCCTATAAAAGAGCAAGACGTTTGTTATTTGTGAAAGTTGTCGTTGATGTTGCGCATAATTTTCTACCAGCTTATTGTCTTACAGTGTTCAAGTCTTGGAGGATACATCGTTTATTATTGTTATGCTTAATATTGATCGATTTGGATGACATACAAATTGATTATATTCTGCTTCGCCAATTTCTCAAAATTCGTGAAAGTCCATTTCAAACGATCATTCTTGCTGTGGATACTGTCAATAAACAGTTCTGTTATATTCGATTTGGTACTTTTTATCATTCATAGTCCTTCAATAGAGGATATGCTTCAACATGATGGAGTATTATTTTATATTGACAATAGTGCCATCGCTAAAACATCCATACAGATTAGCAATATTGATATTAGTAAATATTATTTTTCACTGTAGTGATTATGACAATAGAAAATTAATTACATATGTTTATTATGATCAACATGATTTCGCGTGTTGGAATGCAACATTTATTAATATAACACCATATATTATGACTGTTTTGCAACAACACTATTGCAAAGATGTTAATATGAAGTCTGCTGATAAATTCCGTTTTTGACAAGGAAAAAAAGCTGATTGAATTTAAGGCAATCAAGAGATGTTTCGTTGAAATGGGAAATATTATCTTCATTCAATCAGCCACAGTCCAGTGTAGAATGATGTATCAGTATGACACTTATCGTAGTATATTTTATTAATGCAGAACAGTTGTGATGAACAATAGACAGACGAAAAAGACTTAGATGAGCTACGTAATTACACTTTTTGTAAACATACATAAAATTGCTAGGGCGTAAAATGCATCCAATCTTCTTCATAGAGCATAAATATAAAGGAGGCACTCAATCATATTCGATTGCCAAGACTTTCACATGGTCTTTTTTGAATGACTAGAGATCGACGAGTTCAGTTATAGTTCGAATGCGAGAGATTGTTGAAAACGTTCTATGATCTAAACTGATCTGTTCTAATGAGTTTTGTCCTATTTTCGAGAAAGGTACTTCCGACTTTCAAAAACTTTTGTTCTTTTATTGAAATATTGTTCTCACAACATAACAACATTTTTCCGATAGCTTAGCTCCTACTAGAGAAATCGTTGGCACAGATCTTGCGATATAATATGATCTGTTCAAACAGTTCTTTCACTCATTTGATCAGAATTGTGAACTGTGAGCTAGTCGATCTCTATTGTTTACATAGTTTTGTAGCTGTTATTGAGTACTGCTCATGCTACAAAAGTCATCCAAATGCTGCACATTATAGTAACAATTATGGGTACACAATGTTTACTGTCAGGTAATTTGCATATATAGTTTCAGGGATATGTCAATATCTAATTCTACTGGGCATGTCTTTTTCATACGTTCAATTTCGGAATTTTGTAGCTCTTGACAAGTATCACTTATGCTGAGGAGATGATAATTTTAAATCAAACTCATTTATTTATTTTTCTTTAGAATTAAATTCTGTATTGAATGATTTATAAATTGAATATTGAACTCTACGAAGACGATTCCAAAAATGATTAGTTTTGATCTATTTGCCTTCTCTTTTCAGCATCACAAAGGTACCTATCTGGCAGAACATGAAAATATGATGAAAGTTTCACCAATGAAACTGAAACTTCTAGAAGTAACTATTAACTTTGACCTTCACAGTTTTTGGAAGTTTCACATCAAAACGGCCTTTGTTTTCTAACTAAACATCGACAACCGGTTATCATATCTCGTTCTGTACTAATTGAAATGCGTCGAAACACATTGAAATTAAAAAAAAAACAAGCATTGAAAGGCAAAAAATGAGTTTGTAAATAGGTCTGAGAATGTGGCTCTGAATCATCTGTTCATGAACATTCACGTCGATACCAACACTCACATCCTCATTACTAGACGGATGAATACCTAAAACAATTACGAAAATTGTATACACCAGTTTATTTTGACTATATCATGTGCATACCGGCGAATCAGAGAAGAATAAATACAGTGATGTATGTAACACATACTTCTTTTCTCCAACAAAAATCAATGTTAACTTTCAAGATGACTCATACTCGAAGAAAATTGCTCTTTTCTACCAGCTATTTGCGTTAGTAGTGTTGCTGCGCATAAAAGCCTCTCTGTTTGAATATTCTAATGCATTTATAAGAGAGGTTCGACAGAAAAAGCAATGCATGAAGCCGGAGAAACACCTGTGCGTAATATAACGAAGCATGCATCACTTTCCACGTGGCCACTATATTACCTTTCATTTTCTTCTCTTTAGTTATCATTAGTAACAAAATTGAAGTATTATCAAATTACGTAAATAAATGGATTATATTCCTGGGTTGGCTAGAGCGTACGATACCGTCCGGAACATGTCCATGTTCAAACCGGCGAGTTATTCATGGTGCTCTTGGTGGGTATTTTTTCTACGTCACTATTCTTTTATAGTAACTGATATCTTGAATTGAGTCTATGTTATGTAGGTGTCGAGTACCGCGTGTTCGAGATCATCCATTGGTTGTTCTTCATCATTTGACACATCCGCCCTATCATGAGACAGAGGAACAACATCTCGATCAAAATTTGATCGAAAAGATCGGTTCAGGTACCGAAGCAAATCCTTTTGTTATCTATCGTGATCCACAGTCAGTCGATACAACGAATCTTCGATATCTACGTTTTGTTTGCGTATCTGATACTCATAATAAACTAGACAGAATCGTCATTCCACATGGCGACGTGTTTGTTCATTGTGGTGACGCAGTTAATCATTACACATGTTGGCGTGATCTACCTAAATTCAATGAATTTGTGGGCACGTTACCACACAAGCACAAACTCTTCGTCAGTGGTAATCATTGCATCAGTCTCAATCCAGAACGACCTGATCTCAGTCAACAGTCATTAGGGAACATGACCTATATTCAAGATCAACTGATTGATATCGAAGGAGTAGGCATCTATGGAAGTCCATGGCGACCACAAAGAGGTCTTATCTATCGATCCGAAGCATTCGGATACGATGCTACACTCATTCGAGCTGATATTTGGTCCAAGGTACCTGAAAATATCGATATTTTGATGACCCACAGTCCTCCTTACAGCATTCGAGATCATGATCCGGCAAGCGAAGAGCGTTTGGGATGTCCAGGTCTCTTACGTGAAGTGGTCACTCGAGTAAAACCACGTATTCATCTTTTCGGTCACATGCATTCAGATTGGGGTGTCAGTGTGTACAAGAGCGACGAAAATTCTGCTTTGGAGCATAACAATACAATATTATCTTCACACGATATTCTGTTCGCCAATTTAGCAATTAAACGTCCGAGAAGAATACTCGGTGAAGCAGTAGTCATCGATTATTTCTACTGACGAAACAAAATGCGCGATTACACAAAACGAAAAATAAGTTTATTTTTTGTAACTATTGCTTGTGTGAAAAAATAACGACCGTGACCATCATTCGAAACGCTTCAGAACAGAAACAGCTGGCGACCTACGCTTTCGTCATATTGTAGAGCATAGATTATCCTATCGATTTCTCAAGGAGAGCTTGAAAACTTTATATTTCCAGATGGCCCATATAGCAAAGCTTTAAAAGTTTCAGCCACGATTTTCTTAACTTCTATGATGATCTCTGCATTTCAAAGTCATAAAATATAGTCTAGAGGATCCTCTAAAATCGGCGAAAGACCAATTTCTCTAGCTCCGATTGTATTCAAATGATCATCATTACCATGAGAACTGTGCTGACGCTTCTTCTCCTAGAAAATGTGCTCATATCTGCAGATTGTGACTGCCACACGTTTATTTTCAGATAAAATAAATAAGATATTCGAAACCAGTATTAGAAACTATATCGAATAACATAGTAGATTATATCGAAAAATATATTTTGTCAAAGTTTGACCTTAACTCTCCCTCAGTTCTTTTTCAATGTAATTTCGTCTGAGGTACTCGTGGTCGAACTTTAACGAAATATATTTTTCGATATAATCTACTATATTATTCGATGTAGTTTCTAATACTGGTTCCGAGTATCTTATTTATTTTATCTGAAAATAAACTTGTGACACTCACAATCTGCAGATATGAGCACATTTTCTAAGAGAAGAAGCATCAGAACAGTTCTCAGAGTAATAATGATCATTTGAATACAATCGGAGCTAGAGAGATTGGCCTTTCACCGATTTTAGAGGATCCTCTAGGCTATATTTTATGACTCTGAAACGCAGAGACCATCATAGAAGTTAAGAAAATCGTGGCTGGAACTTTTAAAGCTTTGCTATATGGGCCATCTGGAAATCCAAAGTTTTCAAACTCTCCTTGAGGAATCGATAGGATAATCTATGCTCTACAATATGACGAAAGCGTAGGTCGCTAGCTGTTTCTGTTCTGAACCGTTTGGAATGATGGTCACGCCCATTATTTTTTAAAACAGGTAACAAACTTGTAATTCAGACCATATATTTCATGATCAATCTCAAGATTAGCTGTTACGATACATAAATAGTCGTAATCATTTTAACTTAACGATGATCGAAGATTATTTGTTGAATGACGCCATGATTCAGACCAGTTTGTATCTACAATTCATTAATTGTAATACGATAATTGTCGTCAATAGGGACAATGGATCTATTTAATGACATATGCTCTAGATTCTATTCTGTTTTCAACATCTTCTCGGTCTTTGTGAAGCCATTTATATCATTTTTCATCTGTTCTGGGAGAATACGAACTTGAATGTAGAGACGAGAGTGTTTTTTACTTATTCAGCAAAATCAAAACTGAACATTTATGATCAAAATTCTAATATTATCATAGAAATGAAGGGTGGTGAAAAAATATAGAGCTACAGAGAATTTCTTAATCTATTAGTGTACATATACAAAGAAGACCTGCTCAAGTCTTCTATAATGTGGTACAGTACCACTGCCACCACTTTGGTTTGCTGTAAGTATATTATCTCAAAAAATTACAAATTCTAGTTCCAGAAAAACAACTATCAATTACAACGCTCTTTGCCTGTTTATCTAACACCAATACATACACCATTCTCAAAAATGTTATCCATCAACGTCATCGTCATATAAAAAATCTAAAGAATTATCTTCTAACTATCATGATATTCAACTAAAATTGATTACATTATGTCATTCATTATTAAATAGGGAGTATGTGTGTCAGATGAATGCCACTATGTGTGTGCGCCTTCTTCTCGAAAACTCTCATACTCAGATAGTTCCACTCTACTTCACATCCATGCACTCATACCGATATCTAGATCCACCACTCACATCCACATATCACACGTACGCCTACAGGGACTATATACATCCCACACCTAACACCCATGTTCTCGTAAGGACAAGTAGGTGTACAGTCTTCATGCACACGCAGATTTATCCTGACAAATAATAGTATCGTCTATGGGCAGCACTTGTGTTGTAAGTTACAGCTATAGGACTAGTGCGTATAAATTTTAGAGTGCTTTTATGCCAGCTTGAATGATTGTTCTTCATTGAAAATATTTCATAACTGAGAAATATTGATATCATAGATTATATTTTTTTTATTAGGCTTTAGGGAATGAAATGGGTGTGTTCAAATAACGGCAGCAGACAGAAAATAATTTTCTAAACAGCGTGTGAAAAGTATTCTGAATCATCTTTCAAATTTTGTACTGTTTCACGAAGAATCGTTGGGTCCTCGCATAAGACTTTTACGCTATCGTCAATATCTGTTTTTGTGTTCAAACTTGGAGCATTTTATCCATAATCTTGTCGTAAAATATCATTCAGTCGTTCGGCTAATGCAAATATGGTCGCTGATGGATTTGCATCCACTTGACCTCCAAATGCTGACGCGTCACACACTCGTAGATTCGTCGTATTCAGGACACGAAGTCTAGTGTCTTAACACAATCCAATTTGACAAGTGGAAATTGGATGTAAAGCTGATTCTAAATGACCGCCGATAAATTTCTTGATGGGTGCCTCGAGTCCAGGGAAAACTTCATTGGCTAAAAGACGACCCCACATAGTTGTATTTACTAGATTTCCTATTGCTGCAATTGTTATATTGAATACCTCATATTCATAATCTGTTATAGTTTTCCATTTAAAATCGATCAAAGGCTTATCATAAATGCTATTGCTAGTAGACGTTACAGTTCCAAGAAACGACGGGTCTTGTAATATCATTCTGAGTGTTACTTCTGATGGAGATTCTCGATAGCCATTTGAACCAAAGCGATATTGTCGAGCTTCAATATTACCAAAGTAGTCCGGTGAGTGATAATTTGTGTCAGAGAAATAAATTTGAAGATCTGTTATATTTTTTTGGCGGAGATCTGTATTTAGTGCAATTAACCATGATCTGCTACCGTTCGGAATCGATTTCCTGTAGATTGCAGACGATTGATTGACATTTGGATAGTTGGGATGCGTGGATAAGAACGGGGGCGTATAAGACGTCAAATCGGCCCATTGGCATTTTTCTTAGCAAACCCTATTGAATTTTATATCAACGGAAAGAGCAAGTTGAGACAAACATTTTGGTACTAAATTTATGAGGTTTTGATCGAATTTTAAAAGCTAAAAGCTATAAACAAAATCACTCATTTTTAGTCATTAATTGGATAATTGATCCATGCACAGTGGATTCAATTCTATAATAAATATATAAGATAAAATAGTACTTAAATTATGAATTTGATAGCTCTTGAATAGGGCTTCAATTCAATATATAAAACATTGATTGATTATTTAGTTTCATGAGATAAAGATCCAATGCATTAAGAAGTACTATTAGTATATTTGCTATATTTGTCATTTCTCTTTCTCTATCAACAAATATTTTAATTTAGAAATTGAAATGACCAAACTTCTGGTCTTGCTCATTTGATAGCCCTTTTCAAAAGCTACAAAATCATATATTTTTCAAAGTCAAAAAAATATGGCCACTAGAAAAGTAAAATAACAATAAGTTGTTATCACTGACGAAAAGAGAAAATTAAAAATTAAGTAATATGAACTATTTTTGTTTTGATAATATTTCGATAAAGTTAAGAGACGAAGAAGTGGTCGTTTATTGACAACAGAGATGGGCAACTCCAACTCGGAGTTGGAGTTAACTCCGGAGTTGCGACTTTTTTTCACTAGAGTTGGAGTGGAGTTGGAGTTGACTTTATTAATTTATAGGTGGAGTTGGAGTGGAGTTAAGTTCATTCGGAGCGGAGTTGGGTTGGAGTTGGAGTTGATGCATTTTGTCAACTCCAATTCAACTCCTTTTGATGTAGTAACTTGTCCAGTAAAAATGAGGAAAATTGAGAGTGAAACATGTATTTCAGAAGCTATTGCAAAGGACTACAACTTCTCAAGATAAGATCAGATAGGAGACGACTTTTTACAGTCAGTATTGCAGCCAGATTTAAAAAAAATTTCCGTTGGAGTTGAAATGGAGTCGGAGTTGGAGTTGGAGTTGGAGTGGAGTGGCGAAAATAATCGAGGAGTCGGATTTGGAGTTGGAGTGGGTTTTTAGAAAAATGGAGCGGAGTTGTGTGGAGTTGGAGCGGCATTATCCAGAGTTGGAGTTGGAGTTGGAGTGGGCTTTTAGAAAAATGGAGTGGAGTTGGACGGAGTTGGAGTGGATGTTTAGAAAAATGGAGCGGAGTTGTGTAGAGTTGGAGCGGCACTATTCGGAGTTGGAGTTAGAGTTGGAGTGGGGATTTAGAAAAATGGGGTAGAGTTGGTCGGAGTTGGAGTTGCACATAGCCGGAGTTGCCCATCTCTGATTGACAAGAATATCACTATTTGCTAAACGAGTGGATGTTTGTTCTATCCATTTGATTTGAATATAGTTCATTTGTGATTCATTAGCATAATATTTCTTCCATCAATATTCAAAAGATTGCTTGAAAGCATCAGTACTTTCTTGATCAATGAAACGTGGGCATGGTATGAATAACGTGTTATTTTTCTTGTTCACGTTGTTATTTCAATTCTACTTGTTGTTCGACATCTTCTATAATACGCCGACGTAAATGATCATACTTATTATCCTTCAAAAGTGATGCCAAGAATGTTTCTGGTATGCCAAATTGTTGGTAAAAACATTGAATACCAGAGTGAATAAATTCTGATGTGAAACCAAATGTCAGAAATGATACCTGGATATAAAGCAGTTCACTATTGAATTTCTCAACATCAGAACAGCATCGAACGGCCCGATATAGAACAGCACATAATTGTTTTGATTTGTTTTCCATTAGTTCATCTGATACATTTGATAAAGTATCAATATCTGAATCATAATACACTTTACTTTCAAGAGTACCATTGTTGGTATAGCTAATTTCCAGATCATGGAAATGTACTGTCGATCCAATAAACATTGTCGTAGCATTTGGAATATGCTCAGTACTAACAGCAGTTTTATTGAACAATGTAAGAAATTGATTTTTGGATCCATGCCATGTTAAGATTGCTTGTTCTCGATAACTATTTAGAGAGAAAGATATATATACACAAGGCATTAGTTATTATGACAAAAAAAAACTTTTTCATAAGTTTACTTACCAAAAAATTCATTGTTTTTTGTGAAGATTTTCACTAGTTCACGATGTTGCCCAAAAAATAAATGAATATAGACCAAGAACATAGTTAATAGTAAACCAGAAGCATCACCATGAATTTGTTGATACAATGCGTCATTATAAACACAGAATTGAGTTTAAAAAAAGCTGAACTAATTGTAGGATAGTATCAATAGTAAGATCAGCTATCGTCTGTCCTAGTAAATGTTCTCGAAGTAAATAGGTTAAGGTAGCCATTGTTTTTTCATGAGGAAAAATGGTTGTCAAATCATCCAAATTGAATGTGATAAAAAGAACTTGACGTTGAAGATAACCCATTTGAGCATCATTTTCGATGACATGGATAACATCAATAGTACCATTTGAAAGTCGTTTGTAATTAGTTGCTCGATCAAAGATTGAACATAGAAGAGGAGTCATATAACGAACTATGTTCTCTGTTGGACCATTATTACAGACTAAGATCGGTCGAACTGGAATATTTTCCTAGATAGGTTTCATGACAAATAATAATGGAGACAAAACAAAAAACGATAGCCTACGTACTTTGTTAGTTTCTGGCACAAAAATAAAGATAATGCATTCGAATCGAGCATCGAGTAATCGTCATTGTCATATGCTATGCTTGATTGATACAATTTGAATCAAATAAATTATCCAATATGATTTCGACTGCTTCAACCATTTCGGCTAGACATGTTTGACTGCCATTGCTATGAACACCCTCTAATTTATGTATCCATATGTAAGCACCTGTTCGTTTCATATAATCGACTCCTTTTTGTTGAAAATCTTTTTCGGAACCAAAGTAAAATGAAGTACCCTTGTATGGTAATCTGATAATAATGTTCCTAGTGATCGATTTACGTCGAATAGATAGTATAGTACAATTTTCATAGTGAGTCTTATGACGTTCATGTACTTTCAAGTGACTATAGTTCAGGTGACGAATAAAATTTGGTACATTATTCCAGTCGAGATCTTTTAATCCCTCTGGCTCTTTATGATGATGACTTAACTGATTATCTTCGTCTTCATCATTATTGTCACCATATAAAATCCATACGTGATCATTATCTCCATCAATGGAAATCCATTCCTCATTGTCATCATTTTCATCTTCAAATATTGTCGACATACTTTTCATGCTGTTCTTTTCATTGTACATATTGTGCATCATAGAAATTTTATTCTAGATATATTCCAAGCAATATGATTTATATCAAGAAGAAAAAAATTTCTCTTACTTTTTGTTCATGTCGAGGAAGTTGTGCTTGAGTTATATTGAACTCATTGAAATTTTGATTTTCAACATTCTGATGTTTTGAAACTGTCTTCTTATCATCATTACAATTGTTCTTTGTCATATCCATACCTTTCAACGAATAATAATTATTTTGTTGAGACTTCCCAAAATAAAAGAAGAGACACATGTGTAGTTATCTGACTGTTATAGATGAATTTCGTTTCAGTAAATGACAACTAAAGTGTTCTGGTAGAATGCAAAGAAATTATATAGATCTAGAATAATGAAAATATGAAATATTTTGTGCCAAATTTGAGTCCGTCTAGCTTCTGTTCCTCTCAAACAGAAACAGAATATAGTGCCGTAGATTTTATTAGAACCATGGCTTATTGATATCATGACGATTTTTTTATTGTTTCGACTTCAAAGTTTCTTTTGTTTCACGCAATGAGAAGGTTGAATCATCTTAATTATGATCATTCGAAAGACTCGTTGCGAAGTTATACTATGCGAACCCTTTATCTCAGTTTAATTACGAAAGTTTCAATAGAAAACTACTCTACAACTAACAACCCGGAATAGGAAGAAGTATAGAACGCTTAATATATGATTTTTCAGTCATTTATTTGTGAGAATGCGACTACTCGACCGATGAAGAAAGCAATTCACTAGCTTAAATGGTTCGCGTTATACCAAAATTAAATCATATCCTAGCAAATTCTTAAAAAACTCAATACAAGCATAACTGAGTCAAACTTGAATATTTTTGATTGCGAATGATTTTGCCAACTATGTTTGCACTTGAATAAAAGTCATCGGTAGTCACTGACTCGCTCCGACTCTTCTAACAATAATAAAATTTTAAAAGCTCGTAAAAATCCGATCTCAACGTGAAAAACTCTCGTAATCCTGAATCATAATATATTTTTGTAAACTTTCTTTACCTTCTTCTAAATTAATCTATTCTTCGATTACAGAAAGAGACAAACAGAACATCTTACGTATTTTAAGCTCAATCATAGCTCTTATTTCAACAGAAATCGACAGTCAAGGTAATTCAACGGAAAATAAATGAACAATAAAGTTTTCATAATATTTTTCTTCATTCATTTCGAAATTACGATATTATCAATATCTTACCAGAGAAATCAGTTCGACAGGGTGCATAGTTAGCGTTATATCAACTGTATTAATATCATGGCGACTTCCTGAAGTACCAAATTCAGACTTATCACTTCTAAACTTAATGCTTCTGTGAATAATTAAAGATCAAAACCATACAAAATCCAGTTTAAATATTGCCACCTATAATATTCCTAAGCAACTATACTCATCTCTAAACTTCACTTTGCATTCTACACCACGAATGTATTTCTAAACTATAGAATATGCAAACTATTACATCGTATTCAATCTTTTCTGAAGCGTATGCCTTCTTTCAGAAACCATAGGCAATGAAGTCATTTGAGAAAGCTGTTTTATCAGAGACACAAAAGGGATTTTTCTGTATCAGATCACTTGAAAACTTTCAGTCGATTCATTCCTCCGTCCGACTGACAGAATTCATTCTACGACCAAAGAAACTGAAAACACCTTTTATACTTCTCTTCAAGTGAATAGTTGTTATAAACGGGTGAATTTCTAATGAAACCAAATATATGAAGCATCTTTCGAACTTTTACACACCTTCATGCGGAAAATTTTATCGAATTTCTTTCTAAATGATTGAAACTTATGTGATACTACTAACTTATATCGAAGCGCGGATCCAGTAAAAAAACAAAGAAATACTTCCTACATTGAGTCTCCACGTTAAAATCTCTCGAATTCCTATGCGCTGAAACTTTCAAAAATATTTTTTTTTCTGCCGTTCACTATTCGAGATCAACCATGAATCATCGAACAACAACAAAACAGTCCTATTCGACAACATTCTCTCTCAACTGCGTGCCATGTCTTCAAGTGAATACCGTATGCCGTCATGTGTACCAACACTTTTGCTAATGCTATCAGATATTTGTCTGAAACAATCATTTGAGACCTTTTCACGGAGCAATTTTTAGATCGAACAGATAGCGAAATTTCTGTAAAGAAACAAATTCAAAATCTTTTCACCTTCGCTTAAAATCCTATTTCCACTTAGAACCTGACAGATTCCTAAAAAACGAAATGCCTAGAGATTTTCCAGAAACTTTAACATATTTTCATTCAGGAAATTGTATCAAATATGTTTCAATAGAAATAAAAGTGATACGCTATCCCTAAGCCAATTGACAGTAATGTTGAGTGTCTAAAAAAAGGAATATTTGCCAAAACCCAGTCTTAACGTTAATATCGCTCGGATTCCTAACCGATAAGAGCTTAAAACAAACTTTGTTGATCTTCCACTAAGAGAAGCTCCATATCAATGATAGAAACAGGAAACAGACACATTCGATATGATTTTCTGTGAATTGAGTGACATGTTCGAAAATAAGTATCCTCTGTATTCATAGATACAAGCGCTTTTAGAAATTCTAAGAGATATTTCTCTGAAGATTACAATTTCGTATGTGTTCATGGATCCATTTTTATGCTCCATGAATCCAGAAATTACTGCGAAGGAAGATCCGAGTCTGTTATTGTTCTCTTAAAATCGATGGTTGTTATAACCTGGCGGATTCCTAATATAACTCGATGCATAGAGACCTTGTCGAAAGTTGAGTATTTTTTATACAGAGAATGCTATCGGACGCATTTTAATATGAACAAACTTGATGCCCAATCACGACGTCATTTGGACGTATCACTGAATAATCCAAAAAGAAAGACTTGATAAAACCCAGTGTCAACGTTAAAACCTCTCGGATTCCTAAACCGTACAACATTATATAAAATTTTCTTCATCTTCTACTATGGGAACGTGTATCTGATCTATTGTAAAAATCCTCATAGCAATTAAGCATAATTTTCTATCAAAATGATCTTTTGTTTGAAAATTAGCAAATGTTTAGTAGTATGTACGAGCAATTTTAGTAATTATCGGAATTTTTTTTTGTAATGCACGTCTTTTCTATGAACTTGTTGTAAGTATTTCTATGGTAATCTTAGTACAAAGAAACATGCGAAGAAAAATAATTACAATCTTTTATAGTTCTCTCAAAACTAGTATTTCTTATAATTTGGCATATTCCTAAAATAGCTATATATATACAAATTATTTTTGGAAAGTTTAGCGTTCTTCTATACGCTAAATCTTATCGATTACGTTTCACTACGCATAAATTTTTTGCACAATCACGACATCATTTGAACGTATCGCTGAATAATGTAGAAAGAAATCCTTGCGAAAAATCAGGATCAACGTTATAACTTCCGGGATTACTAAACTATATATGTTTTTTGAAAACTTCCTTCATCCTCTAGTATCGGAACATCTCTCTGATCTACACTTAAAACAATCCGAACGATTCGGCATCATTTTCTATGAAATTGTTACCATGTTTGAAAATTAGTATTTTTTTTTTATTTGGCAGAATAACTGTGACCAATACGTCCTTACAGTACGAGATTATATATAGAGAAGAGGAGAGAGAAGGAGAAAACCAAAAAAAGAAAATAGCAGTAGAGAACAATACAAAAAGAGGTGAGGAAGAAATGAATGATAGTAGGAAACTTAGGATAAAATAAAGTATGTAGAATAATTAGCAAGCAAACATGCAGAGGGCAGAAAGATAAATTAGCTCAAATACTAAGAAGAAGAGAAATAAAGTGAGAATAGAATAATAGCACTGATCACATGAAGATATATTAAGGTAAAAAGAAAACAGACAGAAAACAAACAAACAAACAAATAAAAAAGTCAGACAGGAATCAGAGAAAGGAATCAGGAAAGTTTAGAAGAAGTTCAATTTCATCAAGACCGTAATTAGGATTTGAGGGACCTAAAGGGACAGAAGCCAACCATCTTATAACTTTTTCAATCATGGAACGATTATCTATAAATCTCTTCGATCTTCGAAGAGATTTAATGGAAAATTCTCCATCGCACCAGCTCTTACCGAATTCGTTCAGGTTGGCATTCTCAAATAGGAGTGCACCGTCAGTAGAGTCAGCTAAGGCTACAAGATACCTATTCCAATACGCGATACAACGATCCTCGAGCGACTTTTCGTCCAATGCATATGCAAAAAAATATTCGCTCCAGCCAAGATAAAACAAAACACGCCGAAGGCAAGTAAAGTAGAAATGCGAGAGATCGTTTTGTTGTTTTTCGGTGAGCAATGGAAAGACCGGATAGATCCACGTGAAAAGAGGAAGAACGAAAGAAGAAAACAAGGTTCTTCTGAGTTGAGCAGATGAGGAGCCGTACAATTTAAACGACTTTATTAATGAAATTCTCTGTCTTATTTTATTCATGGATTTGTTGATCATGTTTCCCCAACCTAATTTCGGAGATATCCAGTATCCGAGATATTTAAATTCTTTCGCCCATATAATTTTCTCCTCCTGGTTGAGATTAGAAAAAAAAATGTCAAATTTAGGTGAACCAATAGCTCGAGCACTGAATAATGCTTCAGTCTTAGATAAGTTAATCGGCTGAGCAGAAAGACAGGAATAATATTCTAAATGATCAATGAACGACTTAGTTCTCTTTTCTAAATCGATACATTGATCGGTGTAGCGTGCACCTATCTGTCCTGAGACAATAGCAGCTAGGTCATCGGCGAAAAAATGACTAGAGCACCAGGGAAGGAATTGACCCATATCGCAGTTATATGTGATGAATAATGTGGGAGATAGAACACTACCTTGAGGACAACCTTTTTCAATCGAAAACCACCGAGATTTCTTACCGTTTATTTCGATGAAACACCTTCTATGTAGAAGCCATGCCTCTATCCAGTTTAAATAAGAAAGAGGAATACCAACTCTACGCAGCTTTCCTAAACAGCCGGAGAACCATAACTGGTCAAATGCTGCACGAAAGTCAACAAAAATAGTACAAACAGGTGCACTATTTGAAATTAAACTATATATATCTTCCAGAAAAAGTAGTAAACGTGTTTGTAATCTGAAACTATTTCTAAAGCCTGACTGATTGTCAGGAAGAATTCCTCTTCGCGCAAGTACGTCACGAAAACGCGTTAGGAAAAGTTTTTCTCCTATGTTTTGAAAGGAATCAAGAAGAGAAATAGGACGAGTTGATGATGGTGGGCAAACAGATTCTTTTTTAGCTAATAGGATCATTCGAGTATCTTTCCAGGCGGTAGGTAAAACCGCATTTTGGAATGAAACATTGTAGAGTTTTAACAGTAAGGACCAATGACCATCACTAAGGAAATTAAACATAAAGTTTGAAATACCATGAGCATCTAGGGATTTCTTCTTTCGCTTTGTTTGAACAATAATAGTTAGTTCCTCCATTGTTACTTCGGGAATAGGTTCATCTTTATTTTCAAATTCCACCAGTGGAGAATCAGTATAAGGATGAGCTCTTAACATATCGGATTTTCTAAAGAAATTTTCATAGAAATCAGCTGCAATTTCGCACATTTCCTTCGGATCTTTAGTGATTTGTCCGGAGGGAGTAATAAAAGCACGTAGAGAAGATGATGATGGTTTAAGAAAACGTTTACATTTAGACCAAAAGGAAATAGCTGCTGGTGATGAAGTATTACGCAGCTGGAGAGATGTGGAAAATTGAGCAGAGAAAAATTATTTCAATTCATTCTTGCCAATTTTTCTTAAAATGTTTATTTCATTTTTTAATTCTACACTTTTTGTTCGTAGTTGGTGAAAAGATAATGCTCTTATGTAGGACAAAAATGATCTTAGTTCGACAGGAATTGCTGCTCGATATTTTTCGAGTGGGAAGAGTGTTGTACAGCGAGCAGTTAAAAGAAATATAAATTTTGTATAATCGTTATATATTACATCTAGATTCTCCAATTTCCATTGCTCCTCCTAGAAAGAGAGAGTATATTCAGAAAATAATGCAAAAACCTTCCAATGAACATTTTTGCCTATGCTATTGTGAATTGATTTAGAAGAGATGATTGAGAGGATAGGTAAATGATCACTTGTTGTATTACCACCGTATGTTTGGATATCAATACTCATACCATACGCAAAAGCATAATCAATTATTCTGTTAGAACGTAATGAAGTTGGTGTGTCGGGTGTAAATGGGGCTAGAAAATTTTTATCAGCCCATCTTAACAATGATTCAGTTTTTATTAATATCCTGATTTAAGTCAACATTGAAGTCTCCAAACACGACACATTTCTTTGTTATGAAAGGAGAGAGATCATCCCATGACCAAGATTTACTGTTAGGCGCATATACACCTAGAACACGAAATTCTTCCTCTGTCTTAACATCGAAAATACAAGCGTTTGGTATTTTACACCTGACTCTACTGACATGAATTCCCTGCCTAATCATAATCAGAACTCCACCGTTTCTATTTTCACCATTTTGATAGAAAATCTTAAAGTTGGAGAAAATTTTCTCATAGAAAGAGAAGTCAAAAGTGTCTGTTTCCAAAAGAATAAGAATATCTAATTTGCAGGAGGTTGTGAGTAAAAGAACTTCTTGCCATCTTAAATCAAGTCCGCGAACGTTGAATGAAAGAATATGAAAAGCCAAGAAAATAATGTTATTATATGTTGGAACAAAACTTTTCCCAAACAGAAAAACACGAGTGTAAAAGCAAACAACATTCCGACTCATTAAGAATATCAGAGAAAAGATTAAAATCGAAGTGAGATAGACATTCTTTAGCTTGAAATAGAAAACTATTTCTTTTACACAATTTAAGAGAAGAGATACAAGAAAAAAAAGGTTGAGATTTGAGCGAAAGAGTCATTAATGAATGAATTGTTTACCTTCTCTTGCTTTTTTCATTTGTATACGATAACGTTCTAGTTTACATTTAAGATCAACATCAAGTGGGTTTCCTTTGTTATCTTGATTTTGAGCAGCAATAACATTAAATAAATTTTCAAACGTGGCGAATAGTAATTTCATGAATACATTTTCATGACGTTCAATTAATAAACTATGTTGAATAACATCCTTTTGTAATTCATGAACAGATTTACATAGAACATTTATATTTTCATTAACACGTTCGTCATTCTGATTTTTTTCTAATATAAACTGTTCAAATTTATCATGTTTTAATGCTAAATTAGCTAGATGATCTTTCACTTCAGACATTTTCATAATTAAATCATCTAATTTCATCATCATCGGGCTAATTGTTGTTGCTTGTTGTGTTGGAAGAGATGGAAAATCAGTTGTATTATAAGAAAATGGTCTGATGTTGTTGTTTGATCCTGGTGCTGCGGTATGATCATTCAAGTTTAACAATTTTTTAGTTAATTCGGCGCGAAAGGATTTCACCACCGGACATTTAAGTGAATTTGATTTATGATTTTGTTGGCAACGTATACATTTATCCATTTGTGAGCAATTATGATCTTTAGGATCAACATATTGTTCACCACATGTTTTACATGTATTCTTTATTTGCTTGCATTTAAAGTGTCCAATAGCCAAACACTTTGAACAGATGAGAACAGTAGCTGATGCAAGATATTCATCAATATCATAGGTAATATAGTTAATTGTTATTTTTTTCATATTTAATAATTCTTTTCTAGCTGATGGTGAAGTAAGTTCTAATTTGACTAATTTGATGTTGTTTTGTAGTTTCTTTTTCATCCTAATAACATTTTTTACCTGAGGATAAAGTGCTTTAACATCTGAACAAAATTCACCAAAGTCCAAACGTAAATCGACATTTTTTATTAATAAACAAAGTTGTGGAGGAATAGATGGAAAGGAAGGAAATGAATAAATTTCATTACCAAACATACTAGGCCAATGACATTGATCTAATAAATGCGAAAAAGAAAAAACATCTTTGATAAAAAGAAGTATATCATATTCATTATTGTTATTAGTAAAATTCGACAGTCGGCAATTAGCAACTTGAATTTCCACTTGATAATTTTTTTTACCATAAACAATTATACCTTCCTTAACTTGATTTGCTGTCACCTTTCCAGATTTAAAACGTAATATGTAAGGTGGAAATGGGAAACGAGTTTGAGCATAACGTGTTGATTCATTTGTGATGGAAGGATGTTCATGATGATAATGATGTTGTTCAGCATTATTTATTTGATTACCATTTTGAGGAGAATTATTGTTGAGAATTGGAATACCATTTTGTTGTTGCAGAGGAGAGAATGTTGTTTGTTTTTGTTTACGCTTTTTCTTTTTCTTGTCCATTACTAAGATGAAAATCATCATCAGAATTATCTGATGAATGTGCACGACGAATAGATGAAGAAGGAGAATAAACAGGTTGCATATTCGTTGATGATGGTGGTGGAATACGTTGATGTTTGTTGGTTGTTTGATGAAAGGCGACATTCGAATGATGATCATTATATGTTTGAGAATTAGTAATGCTATTCTGGTTCAAACGTGATGAGTTATTGGATCTATTTCTTTCACTACGATCAATCTGTGAATGATTCACGACATTTGAACAATTATACATATGAGAATTAGAATAGGAAGTCATTCATGATGACTACTTATTCTAATAATAAGAAAAAAATAAATTAAAATTTTTACTATCACGCGCTGTGTGCGTGATTATATTTTATGCGTAATATTTATGTAAGAAGAGAGGAAAAAAATGCGTCTTATCCGTATCACGTGAACAAGTCTAATGAAAATTAGTATTACTGCATAGTTGTATGTACAGGCATTTTTAGTAATGACTACAATTATTTTTTCCAATGTATGTGATTTCAGAATATTGCTTGTAACTTTTGATATGTTAGACTACTGCAATGAAATATATGAAGAAACCAATTCAAAATCATGCACGGTTCTCTCAGAATTGATTTTTGTTATAACCAAGCGTATTCCTGATACAACTACATATAGCGAAGGTTTTTTCAAACTTCAACATTATTTTATGCGGAAAATTTTAACTGATGTGTTATCATTTGAATAAAATTTATCCGCAATCACGAGATCATTTTAAGTTATCACTAAATAACAAAAAAAGAAATATTTGCAGAAACCCAGTTTTAACATTAAAACCCCTGCAATTTCTGAACTATACAAGTTTATATAAAACCTTCTTCATTTTCTACTATCGCGAGATGTCTCTGATTAATTCTCGAAACGTTGAAAGTGATTCGTGTTATTATCACCGAGATTGGTACCGTATTTGAAAATCAGTATACTAAATAGTACTGCATACAAGAAGTTTTACTAATTACGAAAATATTTCTCTTAAAATACATGATTTTGAGAAACTTGCTTTCTCTATTGCCATGTTAGACTAATACAAAAGTATGTGCGAAGAAAAAATTTCAAAACCATGTACGCTTCCCCTATCAGAAGGTTTTGACATAACCTGGCGGATTCCTCAGAAAACTATCCACATATGAATTATTTCCAAAGTTCGACATTTTTTTATGCGGAAAACTTTATTTGACGTGTTTTGATACGCATAAAATTTATGCGCGATCGAAACATTACTCTAACTTATCATTGAATATTTCGAAAAGAAATACTTGCAGAAAACCGGTTTCAACGCAAAAACATCTCGAAAGCCTAAACTATAGAAGTTTGCATGAAATTTTCTTCATCTTCTACTATCGGAAGCTGCTTTTGATTATTTCCATAGATAATGAGAGTGATTCTTCTTATTATTCAATAAATTTATCGTGTATTTGAAACTGTGTATATTGTATAGCAGTAAATACATGGAATTTTAGAAATTCCGAGATATTTTTTCCAAAGTACTTCACATTGAAAAACTTGTTTTATCTATTGTTATGGTAGACTAATACAAAGATATGTGGGAAGAAAAAAATTCAAAATCATCTACGCTTCTCTTATAGCAAGGTTTTGACATAACCTGGCTGATTCCAAGTAAAAGTATATATCTAGAAATTTTTTCTAAACTTCAACATTTTTTTCTCCAAAAAATTGTATCTGATGTATTTTAATAAGAATCAAATTTATCCGCAATGAAAAAAATATTCTAACTTATCACTCAATATTTCGATAAGAAATACTTACAGAAAACCGGTTTCAACGTAGAAATCTCTTGCATTCCTAAACTGTACAAGTTTCTAAGAAATTTTCTTCATCTTCTGCTATCAGAAGTTGCTGCTGATCATTTCCACAGACAATGAGAGTGATTCTGCTTGTTATTTCAATAAATGCATGGTATATTTGAAAATGAATGCACTGCATAGCATTGGTTAGTAGCAATTCTAAAATTTTTATATTTTTCTCTGTAAAGTATGTCGGATAGAGAAGGTTAATTTATCTATTTCTATAGTAGGCTAATGCAAAGATATCTGTGAAGAAAGAATTTGAAAATCATGTACGTTTCTCTTATAAGAAGGTTTTGACGTAACCTGGCTTAATGCTAATACGAATAGGTGATTGGAATTATTCGGTGAAGTTCAACATTTTGGTGCGGAGAAGATTTTATTTGATTTGTTTGAATTTGAATATGTTTTTTCCAGTATTACAAAATTATTTTCGCTTATGAGAGGTTATGTTTGTCGTAGTTATTGACGTAAGTTTAATTGTTTTTGTTTTGTATTATTTTATGATGTTTTTATTTTCTCAAGTAAAATTTATTGTAGAGATCTGTTTGTTTTGTGTACATTAGTCTTTTTTGGTTTAAGTTTTTTTTGAATAGTTTTTTTCATTTGTTGACGCTAAACCCATCTCTTGTGAGTTATTTGTGTTAGTAGTTGCGTGAGCAGACGGACATCTATGAAGATAATAGAATTTAGTTTTTTTTTGGTTCTTTGTTTTTTTTGGCAAACCTATTGGTGAGAAATAGTTTGATCGTGGCAAAAGAACATCTTGTTTTGTTTTTTCCCAGAAGAGTTTCCGGTCGAATATATGGAAACCTTGGCGGGTTACAGTCTTGCTTGTTTCGCTGACTATCTTTTGAAATTAATCTGTTTGTTTATCTGTAAGCTCTATATTCGGAGAATATGGTCCCATCCATGTGTATTGTTAGTTCTTCTTTTTCTTTGTTTTGCAGACTTAGATCAGGCGTTTGCATACTTCATCTAAGCGACTTTTGTAGTTGGTAAGAAGTGTGTGAAATTTTAATTTAGATTTCGCTATTTTGGTGCTATGGAAAAAGATGGCAAGCAATGTTTCGGAATGCTGAAATTAATGTGAGAAAATGTGGCGTTCCTTGCAAGTTCATATCACTGTGATATGATAAAAAACATATTGTGTCCTATGGGGGATTGTCCATGAAGTGTTGATAAGTGAACGTAGATAAGTCTTGTTGATGAGTGTTCGTAATAATATTGACGAATGTCTTTGTATTTGATTGTGCCTCATGTACCGCCCATTTTCAAGCGCTTTTCACCTTAAGAGTAGTAGGTTGGTAGAACGGTGAAAAATGTAAAAGTTATGATTTTACCTTTTAGTTCTTTATATTCGCCGTGTTGAACTTTCGCTTCAGTATCGACTAATAAATGATTTGTAACAAAGAGTTTGACGAAATCACAGTAGATGGTGCGGATGGAAAAGTCACCAACAAACAAGATCGTTAATTTTTGAAAAATGCAAAACACATCTGACTGTTTTAATGTTATATCCAGGTAGTTTTTTTTTAACTGCTTTGTGTCAAGCTTGATTTTTGATATTTTAAAAGAACTGCTCGCTACGTGTAGCGGGGTTTCATTATATTCGTTCATCTGGTAAAAGAAAAGTATAGAATAAGTCGAAGATTATAACCAATAAATTTTATAAAATAACAAGAAAATTAAAAAAAAGATAAGCCATATTTATGCATATAAAAGATTTAAATGTACATGAAGGTATTTACATGTTTTACAAGTTATTTATGGTCAAAAATATAAAAAGATTGAACAAAAACGTTTCAAAACACATATATTAACAGTTCAGGAGCACAAATAGTATATGTAAAACAAACGAACAACTTTATGAAAAAATATTTCAGGAAAAAAATGATAATTATACTTATTTACAGTAGACACGTAAAACATAAAAACTTAGTCTATAACTTAACTACTTTCGTTTTTCTTTGAACAAAAAGAAAAATTGCTTTCTTCACCTTCATTGAAAAATCAGAAATGCTCATCCACTAGATCTTGATCCTGGTCTGTCTCGTGGGATAGCTACTACAGACAGCTACAGTGACTATGCGCATATCTATCTTATTCCATAGATGAATCACAGCTGAACATAATAATATCATATTTAATTTCACGAAATTCTTATCCCATGGAGAAAGGGGTAGAAGAAAGTAATCGCTCGATGGCTCAAAGGACTCCTACTACCACTAGGTCGTACCTTTCACATCACACGTCTATATTTTACATTATCGATGCAGCGATTACAAATAATTAAAGAAAAAATATGGAGTTCTAGACACCTTTACCTCAAAGTAAATTTTTATGTTATTTTACTTAATTTACGATAACCCATAAAATATGAAAGATTTTTTCTTTTCATTCGAAGGAAAAAAGTCTTAGATCAAATTCCTAACTAAACATAATCATACCTGGTTTGTATATGAAAAATATGGTGACTATCAAATATAATAGCAATAATCAATTGATAAAAAGATCAGTATTTTGCATTATTTATACCTTCATACTAGAAAAAAATTAGAAAAACTATTATAAAAAAAGATTGTATTATATTTAAATATGAATATTTACTTACATATACTAGTTTTGGTTTGAGAAAATGTCAGAAAAAAAATAAGAACTTCATTGAATATGTAGACATGGTTGACAGAATTATTTTTCATCACTAGAATTTGTTCATAAAAATATAAATCCATAAATGGTGCATTGTATGAAAAAAAGGTGGAATATAAGCTAGGTTTTCTCACTTAGCACCAAATTTAGTAAAATGTTGAAAGTTAGTTATGAAGAAGTAGAGAAAATACATAATGAGAAGTTGAAGGAACAGATTCCATCGAATCCTGTGAACTTTATTGAAAATAATTTCGCATGAAATGCGTAAAATTTTCTTGAGTGAAGTGATATCTTGTAATGAATAACTGATAACAATTTGTAAATAATCCAACTTTGAATTATTTCTTAATAGGAAAAACAAATTAAAAAAAACGAAATCGAATTCAATTACTTGAAATTGAAACAACATGAAAAAATTCGTCATTATGATATTTAGTCTTTACGAGAATCAGGACATTGTGTAACAAAACAAAACTGTGAATTTAATATACCAAAAACAAAGCGCGAAGG